AAACTCTGAAAAAGAAATGCATGTAATAAAAAACAGGTAAAAACTACAGCACGAATAAACAAATCATAATTACAACTTCTAAGATCATGAAAATTCCTGTCTTCTTTGAAGGTTTAAGAACAGTTCTGAAATTCTGTTCTTCTGTCAAAAGTTAAATTTTGAATGATGAATGTTTGAATTCAAAAGTTACATTTTCCCACACAAATTATATGGTTGTCTCTTCTTATTTGCATTATGCTATTACAATTTATGATCCACAAACACCATAAATTGCTGTCTGCTTGAAACAGAACCAAAAGAAATAAATGAAAGATATTCTGTATTTTCTACTATAAAATGAAAATAAATTTTAAGTAATTACTTTTATTTAAAAATGCAACATTGTTTTCATTCTTAGTAATTGTGGAATATTTACAATTACTGTGTCATTTTTCAAATTAATAAGGCACAAATTTCAGTAGATAATCCCTCTTTCACATCAGTCTTCAAAAGTAACTATTACATCTTCAAACACACAAAACAATACCCTAACTTCTTGATAGGTTAAATTCCTAACAGTGAGAATGAATATCACAGTAGTAATGTTGTACCAACTATTTTAACTACAACTTAAATTTAAAAAATGTTGAGATATATTTACCTATCACAATAACCTAAATGCTCAAATGCCCTTTCTAGAGGAAAGTATACCGTAAGCACTCAAGGGGCCAAATTTTAAATTGTCCATAATGGCACACCTCTTTCAAGAAGGAACTTTACACATTCAAAATGACAATTTTTTGCTGCCAGCATTAACGCTGTACAGTTCTCTGAATCTATGACTTCTTTCTCAACACCATTTCTAATTAAAAATTCAATACAATCCAAATGCCCAGTTTCTGCAGCAAAATGCAAAGGAGTTGAGTTCTTATCTCCTCCTCGCAGATTCATATCACAACCGAATTTCTCAAGACAGTCTAGAGACAACAAGGAACCATGGCACAAACATGTACAGGAGCTAGACCCATTTTATTCTTCTTTTGTTTATCGGCACCTGCTTTTATTAATAATTCAATATTTGGACTTTGTGTTCTTTGAAATGGATGCTGCATAATATGATTGTAAGAATTTCCTGACAAACATGCAAAATGCAAAGGTGTATCACCGCTTTTATTTTCAATATTCACGTCACAACCTTTGTCAATCATGTATTCTAGACACAGATAATTCATACATTGTGATGCTATATGAACAGGGGTAGTGCCATCAGAAGAACAAAAATTGAAGTTTTGAGGAAGCAATGTTTTAAAAACATCCAATTCAATTGCTATTTCTAAAGGAGATATGCCTAACACATCTTTCACAAAAATGTTAGCACCAATATCTGCAAGGACGTTAATGCAGTCATCTGATTTAGACACAGCAATATGCAACGCTGTTCGACCAGTTACACTAACTGCATTAACAATAGCACCATATGTAAATAACAGTCTTATCATTTGTGGTTGAGATTTACTTGCTGCGAAATGCATAGGTGTTAAATCACCATCAGCTTTGGCATTGACATCTGCTCCATTTTCAAATAAGAAAGTCACAAAGTCCTGCAAGCCCAAACTAGCAGCTAAATGTAATGCAGTAGCTCCATCCTTACGCTTTTTGTTGACATCAGCACCTTCTCTCACCAACAACTGAACACATTCAAAATCGCCATACTCCACTGTTTTGTGAAGTGCTGTATCTCCGAACCTATCTTGTGCATTTATATCCACTCCTCTGCACAACAATTGCATAATTTTATTAAGATCACCACATTCAGCAGCATGGTGTAAGGCAGTCACTTTTTTTGGTTTTGTTATCTTAACCTGCCTTTTATAAATCCCTTTCTTCTTGAATGCACGATTCATAATGTCTAAAAAAACACACAGATTTGTAAAAATGACGTTCACTTCCTATCTTCATAGATTATTGTTGGCGAAGTCACTGTTAATTTACAAGTACTCAAATAACGCTTACATATCACACGTTGTCCAATTTGACTAACAACTTGTTTTCAGATATCCTAGTAATACAAAGATAACTACGCATAAAGTCTTTTTAGCACAAAACATCACAATATATTATGTCGCGCGAAACCTCGCTCGGAATGAGTTACATTCACTTACACCCAGAGTATATTACACCCGTCAAGCTTCAACCCGTATTCCCGCGCTCGTGTATATACTTTAATTTAAATGTAGGGGTTTTGACTTTTGATCAGCTGGATCGCAATTCTCCAATCGAAAGCTTCAATATCGAAAATAAGGTTGCAACAAGTACGTCGATTGGACATCCGTGTCCCACTTGATTGCTGTCAACTTGTCGTGCGCTTTATTTGAAGTACAGGTGATTTCTTAAAGAAATTTTCTTTGTCTGATCAATGATGAAAAGACTTATAGACATATTTTCATCATGATCTTAGCCATGTCTTTCCACCATGGTCTGATGTACGAAGTCTGTAATACACCTGCCACAGATTCAGTTGATATAAAATCTTAACCGTCCCACTGTTTTGGATAATGAATCCAGAAAATATTCAAGATTAATCTTAGAACCACTACGTATACCCCCCCCCCCCAGACCATTAGTACCATGTTAGAATCCAATCGTTTCACAAATATTTATGACATGTTTTTTCTTAAATAATAACACTTTAAAAATAGGGGGGGTGTATACTTTGTGATGTATTTATTTGCCTTTGTATTTTTATAGGTGACCTCACATTTAGATCTCTTCCACCTCTGATTTTTTTGTTTCTAACATGCTTTCATTATCTGTCCACATTCAATGTCTATTTTAATCTGCTCCCTCTCTGTCCACACTTGCCTCTTTCTCTGCGAAGTAAGGATGTGTATTCTTACAATGGCAACTTTTTCCCTATTTTGTTTGGGTTTATCCTTAAAAAACAACAAAAACTTATGAAGTTCTATAATTTTTTATTAAAAAAGTGCATCATTTTGGCAAGTTCTTTCCTATTTATTTATATATTTTTACTTACCACTTATTCTTTTTCGCTGACACATCATTTTTAAGTAATTTTAACTTTGATTTCAGTAAAATTTTAATTTTTTTTTTAATCGATATCTTCAAAATTTGTTTGTTATTTTTTACTTACTGACGTAAGCATTTCGATAATTTATTTTTTGTATAGATCTTAAGATGCTTTTTTTTTTTTTAAAGAAAAAAAATTTTCATTGACAAAAAAAGGCAAAGGATACTTGTGTTTAATTATTAATATTTATGTGACAATCATAATTTGCACATAGTTTTATCTGCTAAAATTGTGATGGATAATGTAAATTGAAGATTGACAAGAGACAAAAGCTGACATGAGCAAAATTAAAATTATCAATTGAATGTGGGGGTTCTGGCAAAGTCTGTCATTCCTGTGGATACTGAGGTAATCCATAGCTTATTATTAGGGAAAGTGATCACATGTAAATACGGATGGTCGAGAAATTAGACCCCCACCATATTGGAAAATTAATGTTGTACCAAAAATCAACAACAAACAAACATTATTTACTTACTAAAAACAAAGTTATTCTGGGAGTAAATCATAAACAAGACAAAAAAGTTATTCATCCATCTCACATACACAAAGTGTGATCAGCCAATCAGAAAATTGATTAAGGACTTCTTGCAAGAAAACAGTGACAATACTTTAGTTTTATTATAAATAGCACCAGGGTCTAGCATTAAGTTTTTCCTGCACAGGATTACAGTACTTTCTTTTCTTATAAAGTAAGGCAAGAAAGTAAAATGAAACTAAAATGGAAGGAGCAGTTGAGGTAACATATCAGTGGCCATGGTATATTGTTACACGATTGTCAGAATTTCCTCCAGCCCCTCCCCATTTACCTTGAGAATTGAAGCTCAGATACAGGATGTCACACAAATGTTTTTTACAATGTCACCAATTTTAATTTGAACTAAAAATTCGACAAAATGTAATCTTACAATTTTCATGAAAGGGAAAAGGAGTCAATTAAGATAATTTTCTTGAAAGTGGTCTCTCGAAAGATGCAAATTATAAAAATTGCAATGAAGGGACTGATCAGTGGTAGGGCAGAGGGGTGATCTGTTAACAACGGTACTGTTTACGTACAATACATGGTTTTCAGTGTCCTTTTCATAAAAACTTTACCACTGAGTGGTGGTTGTTTAATTCGGGTGGTATTTCAGAGAGGTTTCTCTGTATAAACTTATACATACTGCCTTCAGTAGAGCTTAGAGTGATCTTGACATTCCACCAGTAATGTAGGTTGGCAGGGGTTGTGATAACTCATACAAGATTGGTTCAATGCCAGCCATCATTATGAATGGAAATGTGGAGACATCAACTAATTGTCAACCCTAAAGTTACGTCTATCACAATAGTTAAGCTTTCCTTTTAGTTTGTCTTCTGTGACGGTTTGTCTCTTTTACTAAAGCTTCTAGAGTTGATAACAAATGCTCTTCAATAAAATAAATAAATTTCTGCTCAATAATAAAAGAAATTGTTTCACTCTTTTTGTTCTGTTATTTGTGACATACAACATTCTCAGTAGTTTCTGGACTGGAACAATGCAATGTATGTATAGTTTGTCTCATACAGTTAAGTGCAGCATAAACTGAAGTAATTTTTATTGCCTTAACAGCTCAATATGATCAGTAATACTTGGTGCATTATTCAGCTACATAATTCTCACATTGCCTAGTGTCAACTTTGAGATCTGGGGGTTCAGAAGTAGTTAAATTCAGATCTGACATAAAAGTATATAGATTTTAACATTTTTTATACAGCTATAAAGTGACCATTTTTGAAGAAGGGAAGAAGTAGGGTTCACAAAAGACTGTTTTAACATTAGAAATGATCTCAGTAAATCTCAAAACCTTATTTTCCCCTGAAAACGTTTTCATCCACCGGAGATACAGATTTTAACAGTGATTATGGCTTTGGCTTTTGAAAAACCAATGTTTTTGCCAATAATGTTTTCATTTTGATACAAATGAAAAGAATGTAAAGTTTGCCTTAACAATAGATACCCTTAGAATAAGGAGGAATTAAAAATAGAGAGAAATAGCAATTAGAAAATACATTCATTTAATGAACATTTACATATTTTATAAAACAATCTAGAAAAACACACACTATGATATAATTAATTTTTTATGATTATCAGAATCCGTATTTGGACTGAGTCTGCTTGCGTGACATACGATTTTGGGACCATTGGTTTTTTAACTCCAACTCATTTTCTTTGGCCTGAAAAGGAAGAAAGAGAAGCGAGTTAACAATTTTTTATATACTAAACTACACAGCTTCTTTTGTCAGAAATGCCTACTGTGAAAACACACCAAGCACAAAAAAATGTCAAAGTTCAAATTGTAAGAGATAAAATGAATAAAATTGGAATAACGCATTTTGGGAGATGAAATACCAATAGCAATGAAATTATGACAATGGGTTGAGATTATAAATTAAAAAAGAGGCTATTATTAATTGATAAGTATCACTCTTCTATATCTATATGCCAACAGAAAAAGTAGATTAAAATAATGTCTCTAAACAAAAGTTCAAAGCATTATCATATCAAAAGGAATAAAATTGTAAAAGAAAATATCAATTAAAGAAAATATAAATTAATATGGAGACATTGTTGCCTGAATATTAATAAGTAATATGAACATAAAATAAAACAATGTGGTTATAATTACTATTAATTCATTTATTCTGTCATTTTTAGTAAATTTTTTCTAATGATCCGTTCAACTGCTTACAAATTCTTAACTCTTTTAGCCAATTTTAATATCTAGAGGAAATGTAGTAACCTAGGAAATCCACTAACAATAAAAAATAAAATTTCCCAAAGAAGTAATAATTACAAAAATGGAATGTATACTACTATCATGAATCCTACCTGGAAGGCTAAATATGTGATTTGATGCTTGCGTCGTTGTTGGGATGTGGGTCCATCATGACGCCGGTGACCAAATCCTCGAGCAGGTAACTGCCTTTCTTCTGTGAGTTGCTTTGTCAACCACTCTTGAGGATCAGGAATTAAAGCAGCTCCACTCACATCTATGACCTCTAGCTCTTGCTGCTGCCGAGTGGCTCGCCTTCCGCAAAGCTTTTGCAACTGGCAACACAAAATTGTATGCAACATTTTAGAAGTTTCAAAAATAAGAATGCTACATTTGACAATAATAAAAGAAAAGAAATATAGAAAGTAAAATATTACAAAATAAATAAATCTTGGGAAAAAAACACACACACACAACAACTGCAAACACACAAGAAGCAGGCTTGGAAGCTTGACCACCGTGTTTGCAATGACAATTAGAGAATGGATCATATGCAAATGCATATTTGCATAATTAGATTATTTTACTGATTTTAGCATATTTTTCAGAAAACCTCTGACATTTTTTCATAATTTTTTTCGATATTAATAGTTGTAGCCACACTAAACAATGAAACACATTGCTCATAAGAACTCTCTATTACTTTTAGCAGTCAAGCATCTTTATCTCCGCATTTAAATACGGTGACTGAACTATGCAACATAAGGATGGGTTATTCTCTCCCTGCTCATGCCTATCAGATTCCAACTCTGAACAATTGAAATCAAACAAGCATGGATGAATTTTTGTTCACTTCAGGACAATACACATTTATGTAGCATCAAAATTCAAGTACAGCTAAGTAACTTTGGTGGATGTTGAACATTCTTTTTCCAATAATAAAAATACTTTGTCTGATACAAGGCTCATTTCTATCATAGAAAATTTAGAAAAATACAAGATTCTAAAAATGATTAAAAACAAATTTTGTTAATGGTGTATTCATTCATGTTCAATTTTTCCTTCTAAAAACATTACATTAGTTATTTTGGTTTTATGTTATGTTGCATATTTTCACACCTAATTCACATATTTTAAATATTTTCTATGCATATTAGCATGTCCTTTCAGCCTTTTGATGTTGCATATAATCCAATCATTAATGATGATACTGAACTTCTCTATCAAAAATTAAATGAACTTACTGCTTCCTCTGACAACTGCAGGTTTCCATTGTCTACAGGGATAAAGTCACTATCAGCTGACCCTTTCTGAGAATCCAAAGAAACAAATTCTTCTGTAGAATCTTGAGAGCTGGAAGGCTGAGGTTCTGATGTGGAATTTCCCCATGAAGCTGGGCGAGGCAGATTCAACGTAGAACTACTTAATTCTCCAACTGGATCAAACGGTACTGAAAACAACACACTGAAAATCATTTTGTTCAAAACTAATAAATTTTTATCATAATTTTTATTACTTATTAATAACATAATTTATATAACATTGGAATGCCATGAAAAAATAAACATTCAATGAATTAAAAAAATCAAAACTAGACATTCATAACAAATGTGGGAATGGCAATGAGAAAGTTTAGGGAGGTGAACGATGCAGAGTGTCTACAGGAAATTAAGATTGATTAGTTTAAGATTAAGCGACTGTAGTAACAGTGGTAACGGATACATGGTGCCCTAAACAAGGGTCGTCAAGGGATATCTTGGAGGGAAAGGGCAGATCCGTTGAGGACTTGGAGATGGTCAGACATGAGCATTGTGCTTCTGAGTGAGAGTGAAATACCAAGTCTCTGTATTTTTCCAGGCAATCGCTTGAGAATTTTGGAAGTAAGTGCATTTCAGTACTGAGTCCCACTATTCTTAAACAAACATCAATTACTCCAAGTAATAAAATTAAATACATTTTTCAAATTTTATTTCTATTAAATTGCAAGACTGAAAACAAAAGAAAGCCAACAAAAAATATGATGTTGCAATGTGCACATGAATTCAGAATTGGCTGAACAGACAATTATCATATGTAAGGCATAAAACAAGTCTCACAAGCAAACAAAGCTTTGAAATTCATTTAAGAGTTAGATGCAAATCATTGGTGAATATAATTATACCTTCCTCAGGAACATCATTGAGAGAACCAAGGGAAAAGAAATCTTGAGGTTCGTTAGCATTGCTATCTTCAACATTGTCCTCATCTGGTTTCAAAAAACGCTTTGGAATGACAGGTGGAGTTTTCACAGGTTTACTGACAACACGTGGAACAAGAGGTGCCTGAGTCTTTGAACCATCAGATGATTTGGTCCCTTTCAAAAACACATTTCTGGGTGCAGGAAGAAGAGCAAAGAGTCCAGATCCTTTCTGTAATGCAAAAAACTGATCAGTTTGAATTTTACATAGTTAAATTTCCTACAAACAGACTATTTACATACAGCAGACGGCTTCAATTTCTTTTTTGTTGGTTCCGATTCATCTTCTTTAAACTGAAAGTAAAAAGAATAAAAATTGAAGTATCACTGAAATGTATGGACAAAATATGTTCAGATACTTCATTATCAATCTTACTTCAGATAGCGAAGGTACACTGATTTTAACAATGGTTTTCTTTGTGGGTCTGTCTTCAGCTTTCAAAACATCAACTTCTTGAATAGTTTTTGGTGGTGGAATAGATGAGAAGAATCCACTGGCCTTTTCACTATTCCCTGACTTAACGATACTACCACTATCATTAATTTTTGAATCACTTTTAATGTTTTCGGTGCTTGGAGGTTCCAAGTGTTTTTTATTTGTTTCTTGCTCAGTATGCTGTTTGAAATCTAATTTGGGAACAGGTCTTTGAACTTGTGGACTTTCCTCCTCCTCATTTTCGCTCTCATCGCTACTCCCATAAGCTACTAAAGACATTTTAAACTACTGTGAGTAAATCTGAAATCAACTACGACAGAAGGAATAATTTGAAGTAATATTACTTTAAATTGATATAGGTTATGTACATTTACAGGTTTTCTGTTGGAATCATAGCCAGTTAAATTACGTACATTTACTACGAAAAATCAATGTTTATGTCAGTACATTATTTTATTATCTAAAAAGAATTCACGATATATATAAATACCATTTGACACTTAATCGCACTTCCTATTTACGTCAATGAAACACACAGAGAAAATAAAATATGAAAATTCCATGGATCTTGTTCATTTTCACAATTTTCAATAGAGCGCGTGCAAAAAGGCGGTAATTTAAAGTTTACGACGGGGACCAAACCACCGAACTATTCATACTGTAAACAATGCAGTTATTTATCGTATGTTTAGCTAGAGTTTCTTGATAATAAATAAATCTAAAGACAATATTCGGTCATTGGAAAATAATTTTCTCAAATTAATACTCACTTTCTTATCTGAGCTACGAGTTATAAGAATTCTGATTGGAAAACGAAATTATTCAATTTCTTTTTTCTAATCTCAGGAACGACCAAAGAAATCAAGCATTAGCAAGAGCGCTGAAATAAAGCTGCAGAGACATACCCAACAAGCAAGCTTCTCTGACGGCAGGGCGGGGGCGACCCAAGCGTTACGCAAGGTCTTTGGTGAAAGCAAGCAGTAGCTTGCGCCTCAGCATACAGAGTTGAGAAGCGAACGAAGTCAGAATAGCGACATTCGTGTATCACCACACAATGCAGGTAAGCCGGCTACGAGATTTCTCTATATTTTTCTAACAATTTTTTTTCTGGTTTGAACACTAGCAAGCAATTATAGTCTTCTGTATCCATTTTAGTCGTATCTGCATTTTTAGATTCATGGATATTTACTCTTCATTAAATAACACAATATTCACAATACAAATCATTTTAACTTTATTAAAATAAATTCAACATTTTGTGTGACCACAATATTGAATTTTTGTTATCTTTGTGAAAACGATATTAAAAACATCCAATTATATTCTATAAGTTTTGTTCTTAATAGAGAAGTGGAGATATTCGAAAAAAACTTAATGGATGTGTATTTTCACTTTATTTAATTTTCAGGCAATATTGCAATATAATTTGCAACCGCCCACAAATTTCTCTCCCTGTAATAAACTTACCTTAAAGATGGAAATGTGCGGTGCAACAATCTTCATATCAAACGTAATTCCATGTCATGCATCGTAGTTTCTGTGTGGTCATCGTACGCACCTCGGGTGACGTCTCAGATTTATTTATTTCGTATTGTCATTCATTATAATTTTAGCGCTTCCCTAACATATGGTTGAAGGGAATCATTTCTGGAAACTTTTCAATGGTCTTTCTAAGCCTTTAAAGCACGAACGCTCTCTGTGGGTAACATGCTAACTTTAAAAAAGTTGGCAGTAGCGCCGAAATTGAACTGCATGGGTCAATTTGATAAGTTTCTGACTATAACACAAAATAGTTCTGCCGAAAACGTTTTAACCGTGACTTTTAGATTTACTAACCTAATAAAACGATTTTAATTTCCAAACGTTTTCTTCAATCTAATATGCTTTTAATGATACATATTTTAATATACATGCATATGCAGTATTTAATTTTTCTTTCTTAGCATTTTACGCGTTTTCTACAATTTTTTAATAACATCTGGGAAATTATTCGAGTGTAAAAGTAAAACATTACAATCTGGAAAGTTAATTTTGAAAAAAAGTTACCTTATACAATTTACTAACCAATGGAGTAAAAAACAAACGAAACTGACATTTCATACATTGGAATCAAATGCTATTCAGTGTCAGATTCTGCGGAAAATGCACCTCCAAAGCATACTAATAGTTTTTGTAATTTTGCCCAATTTGTTCAAAATAGTGACATTATAATAGATCTGATCACATCCTAAACAACCCCTCATAGGAATCAAGTTACCTACATCCGTCCGTCAGTTGACTATTCCGGTCTCTAGATGGAGAATCTGTTTTTTTCTTCTATCCTGAAGATTCTAAGAAATTTCTCTAAAAATCTGCTTTTTGTTTCTTTTAAGTAAATAAATAACAGTTTTGGGTGATTTATAGCACCTACCAAAAGTTTATCACTAGCTCGTTCGATTTCTCTGTACAAAGCAAATTGATTGGCACAAATCTTAGCCGGTTGCCTCTAGGATACTCGGGAATAATTCTAGGAAAACAGATTTTTTGTTTAAATGCGTCTATGAGTTCACTGGTAATACGCTCTGAATTATTACTGTCCGACACTTACATGGATCATTATGACGTCGCAAGTGCTTTATCAAGTATTTTGTCTACTAATTACTCAGTCAATTTGACGAAAATTAAAACAAATGTTATAATGAAACATTAAACAAGTATTTTTATCGATATATTTTCATGTAACTTTCTATGCTCGAAAATGGTCGAGCTGAAAACTGTAATACCTTTAAAATTTATCTAATAAATAATAATAATAACAATTCCTAATTATTTTACCTAATTACTTTTATTACGAACATTGCAAAGCCCAAATACAATTTTAACATGAAAATAGGCGCTGAAGGCCTCACAACATCAAGCTACTATTCACATTATTATTCGTACGTTTGTTTCCAAGCAAAAATAATAAAAAAATATTTATGGGGAGTCTGAATTGAAATTCTCCTTCCCCATTTCTTTGAAATACTTTATGAATTCATCCTGACGGTATTTATCTTTTAACTAAGAAAAGTTTACTAAAGGGATTTTATCGAGTCAAATATTCTGGGATTTCTATTTAAAACTGGTTTTGGGGAATATCTCGAAAAGTGAGCTTTGGATCAAGAAAATAGGGTAATGAAAGTTGCTCTTATCGTCAGGGATCATCCAATGATACCAAACTGCAACTCCTATCCCAACCCCCGCGAGTGGGGGTGAGAAAAGGCAAAAAGTTAAATGGAAACCCCCGTTTTTATTGCAGATTCACATTCTCCGAGAAAAATACGTAACTTTTGAATTTAACTGTTTTCAGTTTCGTAATAGAAGAGGGAGGGCACTGTAATCGACAAAATTCAAAACAAGCCAAAACGTTCAAAAATGTGTTTTTCTCGACAACTACACGTCAAATCGAAAAAAATACGCGTTCAATAATTTGCATCTCAATGATACCAAGTATCGTAATGTGCCTTTTTCCATAGGACAACCCCCCCCCCCGTTTCTCTCTCACCAGGATGGAAGTATGAGAAGCGCCAACAGCAGTGCTACTCTGGCCGTTTGATGAAGTACATTTTAATAAAAAGTAGTCCAGCGTGCTCAGTTGTCTCTTTACTAACGTAATTCGGATAGTAAATAATAAAAAACAAAAAACAAAATTCGAATAATAGCAACATTGTTACATAACAAACTACGTACTAAAATGTTGATAACTGCGGCGTTTGATATCATTGAGTTGCAAATTATTAAACATTTATTTTTTACTTTTTCTATTAGATATGTAATTATCGAGAAAAACTCATTTTTAAATGTTTTATGCTTATTTGGATTTTTGTCGATTCATATTTTAGTTTTACCTTAAGCCAAACCATATATTAAATTTACCTTAAAGTGTCCAAAAAAGTGAAAAAATATCCTCTAGGCGCCAATAGATGGTAGCTGAAAAGAGATTGGAACAAATCCGAAAAGTGAACCTGGACTGAAGAATAAGGAAACTAGTACGAGAAGGTCTGTGCCGATCTGTAGTTTTTTTCGTGGGCTTTTATCCAGCCAACAGCCGGTTCCCCTTCACATCCCGATGGGATGTATATTCGACCATATACTAGACACCAACACACTTGCGGGCTCCTCGGATCTAGGGTTAGGAGAACGCTAGGTCCTCCGCGACAACACAAGCATGGGAGAAACAACTATGTCTGAGGCGGGTTTGGAACTCGCCACTCTTCGGATGGAAGTCGCGCTCTTTGCCACCTCAGAGAAACATGTCGACCAATTCGTAGTTAACTAGTTAAAAATGGCAACACTTCGAGCCAGTGCAGATTGACAAGAGAATAATTATTTTGGAAAAAATCCTAACACTAGTGTAGGCGCCGGTGTTGTTCCCAGACGTCCGGACGCATGTTAAAAGAAACAACCCTTCTTCGCTATCAGAGGACAACAAAAGTTGTACCTCGAAATGTATTTTCTACAGCATTGTATAGCTTTCTCTATTCTACGTGTATTGCTCTGTATGTATGACGAGCGTATATGTGAAAATAATAAAAAATAAATTTACTCTCCTCAAGGAAAAGTATAAAATAAAAACCAACAATTTCCTTCACAGTTCTTGGAGCTGAAGAAAAGTAATGAATTAAACGTGCGCAGCGTAGATGGATCGCAGACGATACCTTTTTGTCAATGAAGACGCAGTGGGAAATTTCACATTACGGAATCACACACGTTACTCTCCTGGTTGTTAGGCAACTCCTTGTGCACAGATGTTGGACAGGCCATGTTCTGACGTAGTCAGGATTTCATGTACATGCCAAACACCTGTGCTTATGGGGTTGCTTGTAACCAGGTGCTAATGCCCCATGGCTAAATGCATTTATCTCCTTTATAAGCCAGTAGTGATTCCAATATTGAGCCAGTTTTGATTCCGAGCACGTGTAATGTGAGGCGATTACCTCGTTACCCTAGGTGAGGACATTAACCGTTAGTGTTACTATTAGGCTATTAGTAATTTATTTTTTCTGAATTTGATCCGTGAGTTTAGTGGATGCTATATCTCGGGATATAATGGTGGCGGTGTGCCTCCCCTACCGGAACGCGAGATCCGGCGCCGATGTACACGTCATTTTGAGTCTGTGCCTCACCTCGTATTGCTCCAGGAGGGAGCCCTAAGGCCCACCAAGCCCTAAGGACCCGGCCGCCGCGAGAGGAAGAGAAATTAAACTACGTGTATGTGAAAGGAAAAAGGGAAAGATGGCGCGCAGTCCACCTTCTTTTGTTAGGGTGCTTCAGCCTTCGCCTAGTATTGATCGGTGAAACCATGGAAAACTGCCGATCAGATCAGCCAGCCGCTAGTATACTCCTCCAGCTAGTAGTCGAATTGACCCCAGCTAAGATCGAAAATCTGTCACCGTCGGGACTTCAACCTTAGGACCTCCCGGACGAGGACACCCCCGTAATTACGCTTGTGTACAATTGTGGGTTACAGGGGGCGGATTAAGATACAATTTTTTTTGGGGGGGGATTAAAATGTTTTGGTTAAATGTGTAGTATTACAGATTTTGTAAAATATAGCAGGTTACACTCAGCTTATGCTGCGGTACGATTTTATTCGTTTTAACGATCATCCTAAAATATTTTTGTTTGAAAGTTTCGTGACAAGTTGAAATTAATAGCTACTGAAAAATTTTAGGGGGGCATTTCCGTCATCTTTGTCCACGTAGATCCGCGCCTGGTGTTAGTGATAGTAGAAATAGGAATAGCAGAATGCAGAATACCAAGATACCTAAAGGAGTAAGGGACGATGACAGAAGTGGGATAGAGAGGTTTAGAATTGGGAAAGAGATGAAAAGTCGGTTCTGTTAGAGGAAAGAGGAAGATAGGGGTTGTGTGATTAGTGAAGGTGATGCGGAGTCTTGAAGGGTGCGGGAGAAGTTGCATAAAAGATAAATGAATTGGCGTGCACAGAGAGAGAGATGGAGAAATATTATGTGAAGATGGAAGGGGAGAAGGAGAAAAGAAGAGGGCGAAGAAATGAAGAAAAGCAGCAGAAGGATAATGTAGGAATAGCAGTCGTTAGGGAAGAGAGAGTAGTAAAGTTTAATGATAATTTTTAATTTAATTTTGAATGGCGGGAGAGGCATAAGAGATGGAGGTATGAACAGGAAGTTGTGAAAATGTTTGAGGAGTTGTGTAAATGTAAAAGTTATGTAAAGGATGGAAATTATGAATGGGGAGTTGTGAAAGTGTGGAAGGTAAGCTGAGAAAATAGGGAGAGGATGTTTGAGGCCGGGGTGAAGTTTTTAACGAGATTTTTTTAAATGCTATTTGTGAATATCTACTATTAGCCGAAACGGTAAAGAAAGCTGAATAAATGATTGATGATGACGACGTTATGATGAATGACGATGAATTCTATGTGTAGTGTATTCCCGCCTTACCCTGACCTTCCCCGCCCTGTCCCATCGTGACCTGGCCAGCTCTGCCTGGCGTCCCTTCTCCGCCCCGCCCCGCCCCGCGCCATTCCACTCCACCCTTCCCTTCACATCTCACCCTGTCCCGCACATCCTCGCTCTGCCTCATCTGGGCCCGCCCCGCCATGTTTGCTACAATTATCGGTGCTACCACCGTCGTTGCTACGACAGCTGTAATCAGATACATTTTTGCATACTCCCCAAAACAATTTTGATCTTTCATTACTTCAAGTCTAATTGCGTTCTTGGAGTGAATAAAAAACATTCAATAGGCAATTTTATGCGTTTTCAGACAGGTTTAATTACTTCTGTTGGATTTACTCATTGTTTTTGAAACTTTGTTAAAATTTTCTATAGCCCATAATCTTTTCTTGATATGCCATGTGTACCATGGTCGTATCATTGAGATTGACACTAGTGGTGCTAAAACAGCACGTACTTTCTGGCCCATATTTCACGCAAGATTACGCGAAAACACTCAAATTTTTGAAAAGTTATACAAGACTTAATTTCAATATCTATCTTTAAGGAACAGATTTCATTAAAGGAAAAAATCTATGTTCATAGATGTAGTTGTAGAAAGACGCCGGCAAAAAATTGAATTTTTGTAACTTTTGAAAAATCAATTTTAAACGATAATTCTCAAAAATGGCCTTTATACTATTAAAACAAAATTTAATAAAAAAAGGAGCCATTTTTTTGAAATTTTGGAAAATGTCCCTAGGTTCCTTGTAAAGCCCTTCTCAAAATTAAAATATAGATTTCATATTCCAGGGGCCGCGACATCAGCCAGATCAAATGCGGATTATCAATTTTAAAGAAAATCGGATGAACGGTTTAGCCGCAAGCGTTGTTCACAGACGGACAGACAAACGGACAGACTGACGTTTTGCCGTCATTCAATTTTTCTGAACCAAGGACTCACAAAATAAGCATTCTGGCTACACCACGTATTAGAATTCCCCCCCCCCAATATTTAAGAACTGGATTTATCCACTTTTTCGTTAACCAGGGCCTTGTAATAAGGGGTTTTCCTGCCGAAAACGCGTGTTTTTTTTCGCGCAGCATTATATAACTTTCTCTCTACTCCGTAGCGAGAAAGTACAAATTAAGATTTGTTAAAGATTATTAACAAAACAAATATTCTTCTTTGTGTAACAGAAAATAAATAAAAAAGCTATTTATACCGTACAAAACACACTGCTTTTTAGTGAAAACCGAATGCAAATCGGTTTGTAGCCACCATAACGAATTTCATTTGTATGGTGTTATCATAATTTATTTGATGTTATCATTTTTGTAAAAATATAGTTACCGTCCGTAATAACTGTTCGTAGATGTGTTTTAAATACTTAGAATCCAACATTATAATACTTCTAAAGAACTGGTATTCATTTTTTCTTATGCCGCTAACTACAAAAAGATAGTTTTTGTGAATCCTAAAGTTTTTTCATGGTGCTCACAGAAATACCCGAATGAAAGAGTAGCTATGAGAATGGGAATCATCAAAGATTGACTTATGGTTGCTCATTGATTCCAGTGTAAATCATCGCCAGTGGCTGCGGGGGCTGCGCTAGTGCTGCTCTTGGCGGTTGGAGCGCGCACTTACGACCCGGACGACGCCGCGCTGGCGACGGTGCTGCCGCCGGCGGGCTCCTTCGAACCGTTCTACGCGCGCGCCGCGTTCGGGGCCGGCGGCGGCAGCGCTAGCGCTGGAGCGGGAGCGGGCGCGGGCGCGGGCGACGACGGCGGCGACGAAGAGGACGACGGCAGCGAGTCGGTGCGGGCGCCGCATGGCCACGCCACCTTCTACAAGCACCGCCACCCGGCGCTGGTCGACGCCAAGAACGCGGCCGCGTACGGCTTTCGCTTCGACGGGGGACGCCGCTTCAACTACGACTGATGGGAGGGCAGGAGGCAGCGGAGGACTCACGTGATGTACGCGGGCGCGTAGCCGAATGTACAGTACCGGCAGCGTCTAAGCGACTTTGCCACACACTACTATGTGACACCATCTACATCGCAGATAAATTAAATCTCAGAACATTAACGCTACGTCGTGATATGTCCATAACTTGCGCCAATGCCGGATGTTATCGCCTCCGCGACTTCGTGTGAGGCAGATGATCGGCTACGTTGAACCCTGGTTGTAAGAAAGTAAAGAAATCACCGCAAGCTGATTGCTTCAGAGCAGGTCACATGACGTACGTGGCGAGAGAACTGTCAGAGTCGCTTACAAGTTGTCGGTACTGTAGGTTAGACAAGGCCTGGCCAATCCGAATGACTGCACGAGCCACGATGGTGACGCGTAATGTTACAGCAGGGCCGCTCTTTAGGAAAACTCGCTTAAAAAAAATAATAAAATATTACAGAATGAATAAAACGTTTTTGTTACACTATCATTCTATATAATTAACTCCGTTCACAGCTGGTTTTGTTACTATTGCATTGGCGCATTGTGAAGTTAGCCATAACAGTTCAAACTCGTAGTTAGGATATTCGAAACTTGAACGCTTACAATATCCCTCAAGCACGGCCTACGTTTGGCGAAGTGGGTCGTGAGTGTTCTTTAGTTGCAGCATAATTGTATTATTTAATGTTGAATACGATAGGATGTATTCCTACCTTCACAAAACTAGCACTCTAGTCTCAAAGCCCGAGGCAAGGAAGCCCACCGCAAAGTATCAGCTATATTTGAAGATTGAGAAAGTGGAATACAGAACAATATTTTGTAAACTTCAATGACTTGGAGAAGTAAATGAAGGGACCACTTTTCTTTAAAATGACGGATTTGTGGTGTTCATAATGAGTGTTGACGGAAGAGTTTGTCTTGTTAGATCGCATTCACTAAAAACGTACATATGTGTGTTTCGGAAGCTCTCTTTAATTTCTGTTGATTACTATTACTCATAAGACATAAATAATGTCAGAAAAAAACCAAAATGATTGTAAATAAATCGAGGATTGTAATACATTGTAAACTCCAATAACCTCTTTGTATTTCAATTTGTTTCCAAGAAAAATACGAAAGTATTGTAAGAAAAAATACTTCCTCAAAAAAACGTTACTACTTACTAATCAATTGTAATACTTGAAAAGCAATTATTTAAAATTAATTAGCAAATAAAATGCATAGTATTAATTTACTTTTCATTTAGCGACGTAGGAGTAATTTCATAGATATTTAACTAAGTTTAAAAGTCTAACTTTAGAACATAGTTTTATAAAAAATTCGTTGGTTTTGAACTGATAATTTCAGAAAGGCAATACTTATTAAACTCAATTTCAAGAGTTGGGTAGAGCTGTCACTCTGGAGAAAGGTTTGGTCGATGATGTAAAACATGTAATGGGAAATATATAATGATATTTTACGATAATTATTATGATTAAAAATTAATGAAATACAATTTTTAATACGTAAAGAAAGTACGAATATGATTTTAAGCACCGAGGTGTAAAATCACTGAAATAAACTTTTTTGTTCTGTGAAATGAATGGAATGCAACAACATTTAATGATAGAAGGAAAGTACTAGAGAGAATGACTCGTTCGAGATCTTCATTGTACAAAAGTAACACTTTATTTTCATTCAGTAAATTTTTAAATTAACATCTGATTTTAGCATATGTATAAATTTAAAAAGAAAATATTGCAAATGTGCTTCATTTGCCGTATGAGAGCCAGTGAAATACAGAAAACCTGTAATATAAGACTAGTATAACAAAATACAAAATTTTATTTAAACATATGTTTTTTCTTTGTTTAAATAAATTATATATAAACGCACTTTACTACGTCATTCAAATTGAAAGTTGATTTTCTAACTCCTGCAAAACCTCTCACATGTATTCCTCCGACTTTCTGAGTCTTTCAAAAGGCTTCTTTCTTCCTTTCTTCCTTCATCCTTTAAATGGCAAGGGTGTCCTCTCAGTGGACTTCTTATAAATTCCAGGACGAAGATGAAAAAGGAAGAAATAAAACAATTACGAACAATACATTTTATTTCTTTTGTTTAAAAGTAACAAATCATCAAAAACTTCTATTTCAAGAAAGGGGACTTGAAATGATTGAAAACTCTAATAAGGAAAACTAAGTGTAGAAAAATAAATTTCTAGCTTTAGTAATGACGGTGTAAAGCAGATTCGAAAAAAATTGAATTTTTCAATTTTCGAAATTTCACAGGCTTTTGTGAAAATTGAACGTATGCTGTATTGAGATATTGTCCCACAATGAGGGTGTCAAAGGTTCGCGAACAAATTTACCTTTTGCAATGTTCATAAAATATTAACAGTAAAATATTTTTGTAGTGAATAATAGTTATTTACCAAACAAGTGGTTAAAAGAAACCATTATGTACGTGTTAGTTGATACACGAGCGCTGTTGCATGAATGTATTGTACTATATTAGGAATTACCAGGGGGCGGATTTTAATGAAATGTCATTTTTTCCTTTTCACTTTAGAACAATGCCTTTTAGTATAGTCATTAATTTTATAGTATGCCAAAAGGAAACGACCCATTTTTATATGGCATGTTTCATCGATTTCGACTAATACGTGTTTTTACTCTTTCCGATATTTCTTGAAGCGTTTTTTGGCCGATTTCATGATTTTTTATTTCATTTTAATGGTACTTGCTTCAAATAATATTTACACCATGTAACAAATGATCTACACAGAATTTCTGAGTAGCCTATTCGATTTCTTGGCAAAGAAACTGTACTGTCAAGTGTTGTACGTAATCTGAGGTTCTGAGACGTCTATCAGCGCTATTGTCGGTTCGGCCCATTTCGCGATAACTGAAGACAGAGATTTCCAGGTAAAGAGCAGCCGAAACCAAAAATTACAAGCGGAGTTCACTTGAACGAATAGAAGCCTCAGTAATATATACAAGAGCTTGAGTTGCTCATCTGAACTGCTTTTGATCACATTTTTATTGCATTTTTGTTTGCTTTCAGAGCATTTTAAAAACATTTTTAGAACATTTTATTGATAATTTTTGGCATATTTTAGGTAATCAAAATCCGCTCCCTAGTAATTGCTAAAGAGCATATAATGGCCTCTTAGGCTTGTAATACACGTTGTTTCTGATCGTAGTTTAAAAGCCTTTTTAATATTTCGACTATACCTTTATAAAAAGGCATATTAACTTAGGCATTTCCTTTTATTACATCGCATGTAATAATGAATCATTTTATCTATTTCAGGAAGCGTATTATATTGGATATAATAATGAGGCATTTAATTTACTCTTAAACACGTAAAGAGAGAGCATACTTATATAAAGGTGATCTAATAAGACTATTTAATCACTAAAAAATAAACCCGTCATTTGTATTGCCTAGAGCAGCAACAAAAATGATGATTTGAATAAAAGATAACTTTTGTGGTAAAAAACAACGCCTATCATTGCCACCCCTTTACATAACTGAGAAATTTATTTTGACAGCCGGAACCTGTGGTTTTTGCGGGGCCAAGATCACCTTCCCGCTTTATATTCAAAGCACTAACAGAATATGTAAATTTTATGAGGAATTAAAACGGATAACCACTTGTTTACGTAGAAACGTGTTGTCAGGCCTTCCTCGCGGAATCCAGCCACTTCCACTTTTTCTCCAAGGCGAAGGCGACCCTTAGAAAGTTGAAGGGCGCGTACCTCAGCTGAATTCTATCTTACTTTTATTCTGTGAATTAATTTACAACTTCTGTGCTTTAATAGTTAACTGTTTATGAAGAAGAAACTATATTGTCAATGAAATATTTTATTTCATCGCTAAGTTTCCCGGACCGCATGACGAAAGCAACAGCAATTCAGTTTACAACTGAAAGACGAAGGTTCATTATTTTTTGGTCCGAATCAAGGGCGGACTAACCTGCACATCTGTCCAATCCAATGTGTTTTTTTTTCATTTTCGTCTGCATTTCGAGTAACGAGGCCCTGTTTTTGCAAAAATAGTGTTTTTATTCCGGGAATAAATTGGTTCCAAGCAGGTGTCAATAAATATTTCTGTCAGACTGTACGTCGGCAGAACGCAATTTTTTTGCAGTTGTAGAGTGTGAAGAGTTAGTGAGCAGGCCAGTAGTTTAATGGATGAATTTATGCGTATGCTTTCACTGCACACGCGTGTACATACATTGACTCAGTTTTTAAATCCGCTTTATTTTTTGCTACCCTTCTGCTATAAGGAGCAACATTATTCTGCACTGGCTTGAATTTTTGGACAATTAATTAAAAACGGTAGACACAATTGTTTACACAGAAGTCGCAAAAAATATTAGCATTTCAGACGTGTACTGATAACAGTTCAATACAAAAATATAAATTATACTCTTGTAATTCTCAGTAACTTTCGACTAAATGTCACGATCTTTACGAAGAGAAAGTTTGAGTTATTCGTTACAGCGATTGAAAAAAAATTGTTTTTAATGGAGAACTCCTGAAATCTGAATGTAACTAAACATAATGCACTGCTATGCCTCTCTGAGTTGTTCCTTTTACGGTAAGTGAAAGAGTGAAGTTTCTTAAAATGGCAAAGGTTGTCAGTGAAAACAATAATTGAAAAATGTTCTACTAGTGTTTGAATTTATCTTTTTAGAATAATATATGTGTACATACTCGTATATACACATGTATTATACTAAAAAGATAAATTCAAACACTAGTAGAAGAAATCAGAAGTTGGGTGGCTAGTGACTAGTGGTTCTGATATTGTAATTTTCGCTACAGATCTCGTGAAATAGAAATACACACTTATTTCTAAATAAGAGTGTGTATTATAACATTTTCTCTCCTCTTTCAGTTTTAAATGATCAGGAATATACTGCATAAAGAGAAAAAAACGGAAAAGGATAAAAAAACGGAATGAAAAACGATTTCGTTCCTGAAAGAAATGGGTAAAGGTAACGATGTTCTGAGGCCTCAATACCCTTTACATGAACGAGGTGACGGTATGAATGCTTAACAGACAGTAACAGAAGTTTAGATAAGCGTCGTTGTGTGACTTCATGCCTGGTCGGAAGCTTAGATCTTGATCCGGCTGAGGCGGTACCCCTCTGGTGGGAGACACCTGGATGGAGAAGACCCTACAAGATGAAGTGTAAATCGGCGCCGGATTTCGCCATCCAGCGGGAGAAGATTACCTCCATCTCCCGCGACAAACAACCTGCACTACACTTATGAGAATAATGCCCTTAGGAGGTGACGCGTTCGAAAGCACGAATTATGACTGGTAAGATGCTAATAAGACGTTTGTGCGATGCTCTGAATTGCACAATACAATTTCATTCACAAATATTTGTATACATTTAAAAAACCCTAGACAAGTACTTGAGAGGCCAAGTTGCTTACTTAAATGATAGCTTATACCAATGTTACCGAGTACTGTTCAAAGTTTCTCGAACTGCGTGATTTCTAAGGACAAGGTAATTGTCGTAAGTATGGCGAGAAGTATGGGAAGAGAAACAGATTCTGATTTTGAATTTTCGGCTCTGCCAGTCCCTGCACTATAACCTAATGTGTGTCCCTTCCTCAC